AAACAGTCAATGCACTGGCTTATCTCCATAAATCGGACATCGTGCATCGTGATGTAAGAACCAACAACATTCTCCTAGACAATGATTTCCATGTAAAAGTTGCCGATTTGGGCTGTCCAGAATATTGAATACGTAATTCTACACATTCATATTCTTTCAAGCATATTAAAGCCTCCAACATATCTTATTTTAGTCTTAATCGTTCGTTTGATAAAACTCGACCACCTAAACTAAATGCACTCTCCGATACTACCGTAGACTCCGGAAATGTTAGTAGATCGCTTGCAATTTTAGATAGAATTAGATATTGCTATTCGTTACACCTCAACTATAATAAAAGACTAAATTCATTTAATTTTTTTGGTTGTATCACACTACGAACGTCCACACGCATATACCTAGTTAACTCAGAGGAAATTTCAAGAGTTATACCACTGACATCTATTGCTCCGGATATTGATGAATTAAACTTAAATGAAGGAACACTTGTATTGGTGTCTAAATAATTATATATATCATCTAAATATTTTGAAATATTTCTTGAAAGTAGAACTGCCCTAACCTCGTTTTTCAGCATAATAGTTATACATTTCACATAACATAAACTCTATATGCACATTCGTGAAATTTGAAATCCTCTTTATAATAGTTTTTATGCTAGTTAAATTAAGTCCAAAGTCCATCACCGAAGCTAATAAAAATATAGATGGCAACACTTCCCAATATTTACGAAATTTTAACTCCATATAATAAACTATATTAATAAAAATTGACAAATTCTTATATTTTCTCAGGCCTAATCACGGGCCGCTCAAGTGACAAGCCACATTATCATAGATAATGCATTCCTATATATATGTGTGACCTTAAAGGTGGATTTTTTAGATATGGTTTTTAATTATCTTTTATTAAAAAACATATTATAATATAATTTCTTTTCAAAAAGTTTGAAACCTCCTTCTGCCTACTAGGATCCTTGTGTCAAAACTTATGGGCGATTCATGCACTAGAGATTTTGACACCACAAACACTACACGTGATCCACTCTGGTTTGATTTTGTTAAAAATCAAATTTTTAGTATATTTTAATAAAAATTAATAAAATATATGATTGCAAATTGATAAAAATTATGAATTTGTGTAATATATTAAAATAATTATTAAATTTGACTTAAATTTTTATCAGTGTTTTTAAATTAAACCAAGCAAAGATTAGACTACGTTTAATTTAAAATTTATTTTTATTATTGAGTAAAAATGTCTTACTCACCAATTAGTCCGTTAGTGTCAACCAAAGGCAGCTACAACATTCAAATAAGAAACTTTAATTCAACGGTCAAATTTTCAACGTTCAAAGACTCCAAAATGCCACAACTTGTCACTTTTACTCCGCCTCCCGCCTCCGCCATGCCTCCATCTCCCTCCTTCTCTCTCATCGGCATATTCATCGCCACCATCCTTACGGCGGCACACTCCCAACACACCAACACCACCACCTCCTCCTATGCCAACTGCAACCGAACCTTCTCATGCGGAACGATCCGAAACATCATCTACCCATTCACCGGCGGCGACCGCCCCTCATACTGCGGCCTCCCCGAGTTCACTCTCACCTGCCGCGACAACAACGTCACCGAACTCACCCAGAACTCAGTGGCATACCGAGTTCTCCGCCTCGACCAGGCCGAGAAATTCATGATCCTTGCACCTTCACTCCTCTACGACAATCCCTGCCCTTCTGAATTCCACAACTATACACTCAATTCTACTCTATTTCACTACGAAGGCCCCGAAAACGAAGTAGTAAATTTAATCTACGGCTGCAATGGATCCTCCATGTCAATGAAACCTCAAAATCATTTCAACTGCGGTTCCAGTATTTTGAATTTTAAAGATTCTTATTATATAATCGGGCCAGTTCCAACTGACCCGATATTGAGATTCATAGTCTGTAGTGTTAGTATTAGGGTTCCAGTTTTGAAGGATTCGGGCGAGAGATTGACCGGATCAAGAATAAGTCTTGGCGAGGCCTTAATGCTGGGATTTAGTGTGAAGTATAATGACCCGTACCAGAGTATATGTTCAAAGTGTAATGGATCTGGTGGGCAATGCGGGTTCGATAGGAATTCGGGTCAACCCGTTTGTATTTGTGATGATAAGCTTTGTCCTTCTGCACCGGCTCCTCCACCGGAAGCTACTCGAAATGCTTCGCCAGGTACTTGGAAGTTTTGTGTAATGAATAATGATTTCGTCGTAATTGTTTGATTTTTAATTCAATATGGTACTTTGATTGGGATTGGATGAATTATTTATACCATTTTCCTATATAGAATCATAAATTTTCTTGTTTCATGCTACATCAGTTCTAATTATAATTTTCTTCTGTTGCTGATTACTCAGTGATTAGAGCAGTATGCTAAGGCCCATTTGGCATGAGTTTTGAGAAGTCAAGAGGAGGTTTTGAGATTTAAAAGTTATTTTTGGACAAATGATATAGGTATAATGGCTTCCTTAGGAGATAAAACCCTTTTAGAAATTAGTTTCAAAACACTAATTAAGGTAGATTCCTCGTAAAGTTTTTCTACAAGAAGTAGAAATCTTGCCAAACAAATCCTAATCAATAATAAATCGACTACAAGAATTTGTTAGAACACGTATTTCTTACGTAATTACGTAAGTCTACGCAATACATGTCTCAATCACCTATGACACCCTTCTCTTAATTCATCGTCATTTTTTATACTATTCATTTAGCATAATCATGTATCTGCCTTAGCATCCTTGTTTCTGCTCTGGAATTTTGCTTTGTCCCTTGAAACTGACATTTTGAATCTCATGGCTAGTGCAGGAAATGATGATAGAAATAAACCAAGAATGAACGTAGGTATGATCGCATTCTAGCATGACAATTTATTTGTGATTTTCCCCATGTTAGGCTTGAATAGAAGAATTAATCTTTATATATGCATTTGCAGTTCCTTCCATAGCAGGTGCAATTCTTGCTGGTATTGGCTTAGGATGGTTAATTTTCTACTGTAAACAGCGCAGAAAATTGCGGCATGCTGCCGACTCTGCCCGAACTATTAGCAAGGACTTAATAATTCCTCCTTTGAACAGGGGCCTCTCGAGTTGTCCTTTGACTACTTTTACCCCCAGCTTCCCTTCTTATCCGTCTCCAAAGACAGATCTCAGTTGGGACAGCTCGGACTTCGGAGTGCAGATATTCAGCTACTGTGATCTTGAAGAAGCTACTGATAATTTTGATCGTTCGAGAGAATTGGGAGATGGCGGTTTTGGCACTGTGTACTATGGTATGATTACAAGCCCTTTTGTTTCTCATGCTATTCCTCCCCAAATGGATAAAAGTAGGAAATTACTTCTAATTTTCACACAAGCCCCCGTTTGCGTAGTTGCTTATTTCATCTTTCTTGAATCGATATGTGGTTGGTGTGAAGGTTAGCTTACTTACCTTTATAGCCTGCCAGAATGGAATCTAGAGGCAACTTTTAGTGTTTAGTTATGCAGAGTCTAATGTATTGTTCACTTATCCCTCGATCTGTTTTAACATAGGTGTATTGGGCATTCATCTCTTTGTAGTAGGTCACCCAATCTTCCTACATTATATAGAGATATTTGAAGGGGTGGATTTTTTATGTATTTGTGTGTGTTTGAGAGAAAATACTGAGAGTTGTGAGTCCATTGTGTACCTCTTTTTCTCGATTATATCAAGTATATCCCCAGCAACAAGCACAAGCGTATCTCTCATGTTGAGGGTGAACCACTATAAATCAGTCTGTCAATGTTTGTGCATTTTTGCTTTTCGTTTCATTCAATGTTGTTCTAGGGATTGAGATGAGAGCTTAATCCGTTGCATATAGTTGAATGACTAATCAATTTTTTTTTTTTTCACTCCCTACTCAACCCTATTAAACAAAGTGACTTCACCATTTCTCAAACAGGTAAGCTACGTGATGGTAGTGTAGTTGCAGTGAAGCGTCTATATGAGAACAATTTCAAGCGGGTAGAGCAGTTCAGGAACGAAGTCGAGATCCTAACTCGATTAAGACACCAGAACCTTGTGACACTGTATGGATGCACATCAAAAAGTAGCCGAGACCTAGTGCTAGTCTACGAGTATATACCGAATGGAACAGTGGCTGATCATTTGCACGGAAAATGGGCGAAATCTGGCTTGCTATCATGGCCAATTCGGTTGAATATTGCCATTGAAACAGCCGATGCACTGACTTATCTCCATAAATCGGACATCGTGCATCGTGATGTAAAAACCAACAACATTCTCCTGGACAATGATTTCCATGTAAAAGTTGCCGATTTTGGGCTGTCCAGAATATTCCCGAATGACGTTACACACGTGTCGACTGCTCCACAAGGGACGCCTGGCTATGTCGACCCCGAATACTACCAGTGCTACAAACTCACAGAAAAGAGCGACGTTTATAGTTTTGGGGTAGTTTTAATTGAGCTCATGTCTTCATTACAAGCTGTGGATACCAATAGACACCGACACGATATCAACTTATCCAACATGGCTATCAACAAAATTCAAAATCGTACATTTCACGAGTTAGTCGATCAGAGTCTCGGATTTGAGACGGATTGTACTATGAGAAGGATGATTACACTCGTTGCGGAGTTGGCCTTTCGGTGTTTGCAGCAGGAAAGAGATATGAGGCCTTCAATGGAAGAAGTGCTGGAGACTTTACGAGTAATTCAGAATGAAAACTTGAACTTTCACAAGGTCGACGTTGTAGACATTTCTGTTGATGATGAGATAGCTCTTTTGACCGGTAGCATTTCTCCTCCATCACCAGTTTCAGTAATCACCAATAAATAGATGTTTGGTTCTGTTTAAAAGTTACTTTTCTAAAAAGCAAGTCATAATTGTACTTTCAAAAGGTAAGTTTATTCTACTTATTTTGAGTACAACCAAAAAGTTTGCATTTCTCTAATTATTGTAATCAAAGTATCCTTTCAATTTGCGTAATCTTTATGTTACAATGTCTTTTGTTTTGCTGATAGGTACAAAGTTTTGACAATCGCCTACTAATTTGTATTTTTGAAAGAAATGTACATATGAAATGGGGTTGTGTCTTGAGCTATTGTTGTTTCAATTTTGTAGTTGAAAATGGTGTTTCATATATTATGTTGATGGATATTGTACTTGTGGAAACAACAATCCTTAATCAAATAGGACAAAGTTAATTTTGTGATGATTTCGTCCCTTAATTAATACATATTGTCCTTGATAACGATTTTATACAGAAAGTTCATTAAGATGACATAAAGTTTTATTGGAAAAATCCATTTGTACATAAATCATTTTACAGAAATTCACCAGAATACTAATAATGAGTGGGCCCCACCATATAGCAATAATAATAATAATAATAATAATAATAATAATAATAATAATAATAATAATGTGTGGGACCCACATATGTGTATTTTCTGTGAATTTTCTGGTGAATTGGCTTCTGTACATAAGTATATCTCAAGTTTATTTTTCCTCCACATAAAGGTTCTCAACATGAATATCTAGGTGCATTAAATAACAAGAAAAATCACTAAATGACTGCGCAAATAATAGAAGTATATTTATCTTCTACCTAAATTCATGAATTCTTCCACTCGTGCTAGACATCTAATCTATCTTTCAGTTTCAACACAATTAATAAATCGAAAATGTTCTCCTGCCCGCNCCACATTTATCACTAAACTATGCAATTTGTAATCATGTTCATCACTGACCTCACGTAGTTGAATATGTTGATGTCAAATCAGCTGAAACATAGTGTCACATATGCAGCCACGCATTTTGTCAAATATTTGGTCAATGATGAACGGGATTACAGATTGCAAAATTTAGTCCTTGTTTGGTCCACATTATTTTTTTCATTTTCATTCTTCTACTCATTTTCAACCCCACATTTTTCAATAAAATAGTATTTTTCATCACATCAATAATTTTTCCTTTTTTTTTCAACCACATATTCATCATCACATCACAAAAAAAAATATTCTCCTAAAAAATGTGCATCAAACACACTCTTAGTTTAAAACTTTCTTGTACTTCGTTTTTTGAATTGCTAAGTTCTACCTTTTTCTCGCTTTATCGTTTTTTAAGGTCCGGTCCCCCTTCAAATTTTGCAATTTCCTTTGTAATAATAATAACTCGGTCGAATTTATTTGAAGATATTTTCATATATTAGAGACCTATGTCTAATTTGTTAGAGTCGAGAACTTGAAATGGTCTTGAAAAATTGAATAAGAACTCGACGACATTGTATCGTTTATAATTTAAGCTAATTAAACATATTTTTCATGTACGCATTTTATATGACTACAATTTATTTCATACATTCAGTAAAATTTACACATATATAATCACTTAACCCTTCTTTGATAGTGATTAAAATCTAGATTTTTATTTAATAACAATTAATTTTAATCAAATATTTTGTGGGATTCATAACTTTTTTAATCACAAATTTCATTAATTTTTATAAAGATCTACTAAACACCAACTTAGTATCACTGCCAATCAAGCACATATGAAAAATACAAAATTAATTCGCTTAACTAGATAACAAAGTGGGACCAAAAGGCGACTATTTCTGTATTGTTTGTCATTTTAATTTAGGTTAAAGATAATAATCAATTTTAATCAAATACTCAGTGGAATCCATAACTTTTTAACATCACGTTTGGCTTTTCAACAAGTTTTATAAAATATATACAAAAAATCTGATTTTTATCACTGTCAAACGCCTACTTATAGCTTGTTTGTCTCCCATTATGGGGGAAAGAATGATATTTTGAATAGTATTTTTTGGAGAATGTGTTGTTAAAATTGAAAGAAACTTTATTGGTTTGCATGTAGAATATTTTATTAAAGGATGAACCGCATTCTTGACGGCCCTACCTAAATCGCATGTTATGCCTTCAAAAGTAAAGGGTGGAAGGTTACTTGTACACTTGTACTTACCCAATGGTCAAATCCATATTTCAAAATTCGAACCCTTGACGCGACAACCTCAAACAAAGTTGGAGATTTTCCACATTCCCCTTTTACCAATTGAAGTTGTGCCCTAAAGGCATGTGTAGAATATTTTATTATTTGAATGTGTGGTGGAGATTGATTACTGTAGAAAATAATGTTTTGAAAAATGGTAGACAAACGAGAGCTTAGTATTACTTCCAATCAAGCGCACACAAAAGACAGAATTCGCTTAACTCTATAACAAAGGGAGATCCAAAGGAGACTAGTTGCGCATTGTCTGCCATTTTAATTTAAGTTAAAGTAAATTATTAATTTTAACTAAATATTTAATTGAATTCATAATTTTTTAACGACATATTTTCTTTATTTTTATAAAAATATATTAAAAATCTAATTTTAATATCGATTAAACAACACTTGGTATCTTCACTGCTTTGCTTATCTAGATAAGAAAGTGGGACCCAATGGAGACTAGTTCCATATTGTCCGTAACGTGTAAGAATTATAGCTTAGAAGCCTCAAAAGAGTCAAAGACCCAACCAAACAATAAGACAACGGTCCTTCTTCCCCGTGATAAAGTCACCCTATGTAAACGACCTTTTTCCCACTGAAGGAAAATTGCACACTTGCCCTTGACATATGGCTCAAATAACAAGTTGATCATCAACCTTTTATAAGAATAACACAACTAACCAAACCATTTTTATGAGGTCAAATTTAATATTTTAAAATAGATCAATTTATGAATTAAAAGGAAAAAAATTGTACCAAAATTTACACCAAATTATATCATGATTCTTTAACACTTGAGTGTGTCCTTAGTATAAATGCATTATTAGTTCTCAATGACGAAAATAATCCAAATCTTCTAATTAGACAAAAAGTGAGAAATCTCTTCGCTCCTAGTTCTTCCGTAACAAAAACATTTAGAAATGTACAATATTTCATTGTTAGAATTTGATACCCACTCAAACTTTTTAAATGACATTTTGCGAAGAATTGTTTTCAGAAGAATACTAGTACGATCTTTTAAATTGTTTATGTTCATTAGAGATTAATTGTGTAATTAACACGACTAAGGGTTGAGTTATGGTTTTCAAAAAAACTAATGTTATTCATACTGAAAACTGTCGATAGTCGTCATACGTGGCATACATGTGACAACAATTTGTTATTTGATACATTAATGTGATAGTTTTTTTCATTTTCTCATGTATCAAATAACAAACCGTCGCATGTATGTTACGTATGACAACTACTGATATCTTCACTATGAATAACATCATTCTTTCGAAAAATTATGGACTGACTTGCTACTTTGTGCATTTCACTCTCATATACACACACATTATGCATATGTTTGGGTTTCCTTTTAAGTTGTTAGAAGTTACTAATGTTCCATATTTTATTTGTCAATTATTCATTTCTATAGACTTATAATTTTAGCAATTAAAAATGAAACTGTAGATTCTTCATAAATATACATTAAACCAAGCATTGAATATCTAATGGCAACCTTTCATCAGACCATGCCCACATCTTACCTTTTCATCTTCTCCCCCTTCACCCCGCGAAAATTCCAAATCCTAAATCCATTTTAATCTGCAAAATTGAAAAAAAAAGTATTACTGCAACAAATCATGACGACTCTACAGAAATTCAAGTTGTTAGCTACACAGTGCGCAGTCGCCGGAAGCCCAACAAGGAGCCCAACTACAAGCCCAATAATCCACCTCCGACGGAGAAGAAGCACTCTCCGTATGCTGCTCAGTCGTGGCGGAAGAAAGCTGCCGCCGCTCCGTGAAGTTGGATCTCAGGACCGGCGGCCGCAGGGCGACGTAAAATCGTCGGAAAGGGGGAAGGAAATTGTTGTCAGACATAAGCTGAAGGATTTGTTTGTTTCGTCACCGCCGGCTTTCGAAAAGAGAATTTCAGAGAATATGAGAGAAGGGCTGTTACCGGCGGCTGGAGTCGGTGGGGCACGTGCCCGACGACCGTTAACTGCTATGTTCCGGCAGCGGTTGCTTAGGAGAGCTTGGCGGCCGGTGCTCGTCGGCATACCTGAGTGACTTTGTGAAAAACCTTACCTATAGTAATAAAATAATTACTTTTTCTTTCGATTATTTTAGATAATATTGGCTTATGCTTATTTTAGATTATGAAAGTAAAACTGTATGGATATGGTCAAATTTCGAATAGAAAAGTGTTACCTCTATTGTCGATAAAGTCTCTACGTTACTCTTTAATTTTAAGGATCATGCTACATGTATCGAATTTTTTTACCTAATTTCTTACCGACTATTCACAATAGAGGGTGAGGGCCACATCTTGGTATTTTTTTATTCATGCGAGGCCCGCTTGCATATGAGAGGGAGTAAACAATTCGATACATTAAATTATGTACAAATATCTTTACCCTAATTTTAATCCCCACATATTTGCACATTGAGGGGATAATTTTGTACGGAATTTTTTTGATAATAAATTTTTGAAAAAATAGTATATATTAATACTTTTTTTAAAAAAAAAATTCTATAAAGAAATTTCACGAAATATATAATTAAAAGTGATAACAAATTACTTTGTGTATATACTGGTGCCTTAGCCAAAATGATTTGAGCATATCGAAAAATAGATCTCTTTACCTTAATAAAATGCTTACTTTTAGAGGGATCAAATTTTAAGTCTCGTTTGAGGAAAAAAAAAATCGCCCATAAGGGTAATTTAAATATTTTTATATTTTAAGTTTGTGCTTCTGTTTTTTAGAAAAGCCTCCGAGTAAGCTATCATAGATTAACGTCCTCTAAAAGCTATTCTAATAAGATAACTAAAAAATTGTCCAAACAGATTCAAAAGCAACTTCTTAGAATCAATTTTAACAGAATTTTTGTTTTTACCGTGTATAGAAGAGTTTTTGGTAGAAATTACCTTTATTTTTATTTAGAAACTAATTTTTAAATGAGTTTCATTTTCTAAAAGTATTTTTAGAGGAAGATACATTATGCCAACTTCCTCAAAAGCTTTTCTAATTAGAAGAAACACTTTCATAAAATTAACTGACGGATCCAAAAACAGCTTTTGTATCTCAAAAACTCATTTTAACTTTCAGAAATCATGCCAAACGAACCTTAATCTCTAACAAAAACTGTTGACTTCTCAAAATCCTTGTCAAAAAGATCATTAATCGTGTTTGAATTATAGTAGAAAGATGCCAAATCTGTCGATAGAATCAAAGTCATAATGCAAAATAAATGAGAAATGGATGTTTGTTTGACCTGCAAGGCAAGAAACAGTTTCTTCTAACACATAATTAATTGTGTTGAAATTGAAATTTTGATTTATTAATTAAGGTTAGTTGGGGGGTGGGGAAAAGGGAAGTGGCACAAAATCATGAAAGGGACAAGCCAATTTTTAATTTGGCCTTTGTTTTCATGTCTTGATCATACTTTTTTGACAAGTGCACCACTGCTCGAGGATGCTTTTGGACCTCCTATTAACAACATGGAGCACATATTTTTAGATATCCACTTTAGAGCTTGTTATTTACTTTTAAGTAAATAATTTATTTTAATAATAAAAGTTAGAAATAAATAAGTTACTTTTTTCTTACATGAAAATAAGAGCTCTAAGTCAATTATTGTATCGAAAGGATTCTCGTAGAGCTTGAGTGCGATTGTGGAAATAATTCCTATTACATATAGAAGAAGAGTTATCCTTCGACAAATTCAATGGTCGCCCCTTTGTTGCATTTGTGAGCGCCCTACTCTTGACTAAGGCGAGCTATTGAATAATAGGATTTTGGACTATTATTGTGCTAATTCAATATAGAGTGCACTTTGCTTCCCACATCTAACGTGTATTTTTTACTGTGTTGAGCTTTCGTATAGATAAAGGATGTATATCTTGAATTATTCAATAATATGAGAACAATTAAATAAAACAAGCTATGTATATGAAAATAATTTATGGAACTCTAAATTCAATGAAATGACTAAACTACCATTAGCAAAAAAAATTAATTACAATAATTATCTAACACCCGACAAATTTCTAACACATTTGGTTCAAAAACCATTATTATTTTTAATCACAAACAAAGAATTCATTCAATTGAATCAACAAGGGTGAAAGAATTAGTCAATTTTTGCTTAAACCCAAAAAGGGAGAAAAAGTAAGAAAAACAAAAGTTAAGGCATAAAAAAACTTTAGACCAACAAACTTTAATACTCGTGTTCTCAACTTTCTTGTTATCAAGTGCTTGTCATTAAACACAAACGAAATATAAATAAAAGACGGGAAAGAAGTAGAATTTACTGAAAAAAAATAGTGTTTTGTTTGTTGTGGATGCGATGTGTTACGTGAAGATACTTGTAGAGAGGTTTTATGTTGTACAATTCTCTATCACTCTATGCATCCTATATATACTGAATTCGACTACAACAAAAACAATCCAATAGATTAGGTAGGCCATCCAACCGGCATCACTTATCCTCCAAAAACACTTTGTCTATCCATGTTCGACCATGGCATTGTTGGGCAATTACTGCTTCTTACAGTGAATAAATTAACAATTCAATCCAAGCTAGTAACTAAATACCAAAAGGAAAGCAACACGAGAGAACACAACACCAAATTTCTACGTGGAAAAAACCAGTGTATAGGGAAAAAAATCACAGGGCAACTCCGACCAAATCCACTATAATAAACCGAGATTACAACGTTTAAGTTTATGCCTAAAACTTGAGTTCTCAACAAATTGGGAATACAACAATAATCAATCTCTAAGACAACAATTAATCTCATCACAAACCACCAATTTTATTAAACAATGTGAGATACCGGCCTTGAATACTACACCTCTAGAGTTCCCAAAATACACTTTAGAGAAATCCCCAATTTTTGTTCCTAAATAGAGAACAAACCCGTGTGAAATCTATATAGGAAGAGATGAATTATTTGCAGAAGAATAACACTAATGAACTAGCAGAGCTTCGTAAATGTAAAAAGGTATTGGAAAATAAAATGGGTTTTCAAGTTGAAGAAAGATGGTGAAAAGCTAGTGAAGCATAAAGCTCGTTTGGTGATGAAGGGTTTCGATCAGAAGAAAGAGATTGACTTCGATGAGATATTCTCTCTTGTTGTCAAAATGACTTTTGCTCGAGTGGTTTTGAGTTTAGTAGTTAGTTTGATCTTGAGTAGTTAAATATGAAGATCGTCTTTCTCCATAGTCATTTGGAGGAAGCAATTTACATGGTTCAGCCAGAGGGATTTGAAATAAGAAGAAAAAAACATATGGTTTGCAAGTTGAAAAAAAGTTTGTATCTGTTGAAATAGGCTCCAAGACAGTGGTATGCGAAGTTTGATTCCTTTATGGTGGGTCATGGTTATATCAAAACAAATGCAGATCATTATTTTTATGTAAGAGAATTCCATGGTGGTAATTTCAATATTATTTTCCTATATGGAGATGACATGTTGATAGTGGGGCATGATGTTCAGTTGATTCGCAGTTTGAAGACAGATTTGTTCAAGTCATTTGACATAAAGGAACTTGGACCAGTACGACAAATTTTGGGAATGCACATTCATCGTGATAGAAAAGTCAGAAAGTTATGGTTATCACAGGAGAAATATGTAGAAAGAGTGCTAGTAAGGTTTAACATGAAGAAGAAGGAAGAAAAAGAATGAATGAAAGAAATTCATTACTCCTCGATGGTTGAGAGTTTGATGTATGCCATGATGTGCATATGGCCAGATATTGCTCATGCAATTGGGGTAGTCAACAGGTTTCTTATTAATCCCGGTAGAGATCATTGGGAGGCAATGAAATGTATCTTTAGATACTTGAGAGGTACTTCAAAACCAGTTTTTGGAGGTTCAAAACCAGTTTTTGGATGGCTTTACAGATGTAGATATGGCTGGTGATCTTCATGGTAGAAAATCAACTTCGGGATACATAGTTACTTTTGCAGGAAGAGCTGTTTCATGGCAATCAAAACTACAGAAGTGTGTTGCCTTATTTACAACTAAAGAGTACATTGTAGTAATTGAAGCGGCGAAAGAAATTCTTTAGATGAAACAGTTTCTCCAAGATTTAGGTTTAAAGCAAGATGAGTACGTAGTTAACTGCGACTGTCAGAGCTCATTAAGCTTGAACAAGAATGCTACTTATCATTCTCGGATGAAGCACATTGATGTAAGATATAATTGGCTACGACAAGTAGTGGCAGAACAATTGATATTGTTAGAAAAGATTCATACCAAGAAAAATATAGCTAATATGATGACAAAGGTCGTGACCGGAGAAAAGCTCGAGTTTTGTGCCGGACTTGCCACCATGGACTCTAACTAATCTATTAGAGGATAATCTCCTTCCTCAGTGGGTTGTTTAACAATGGCATAAAATTCAAATTTAAAAAAATAAAAATCAAAAAGCGACAAAGACATTCTTCATTAAACTATTTTTTTTCTAAACAAAGAATATAGCGTATAATTCAACTATTGAGACCACGGATGTAGATATATGGGTTTCTTTGATAGAATAGAAAATGATGAGATCATCTGAGTAGTAGTTTGAAGAGTTTAGAAAAATAGATTAAATATTAATTACGACACAAATAGTACAAGTACACATCATGTGGAATGTATGTTTTTTTTACTTACAAGTCACCAAATAGCAATTCACATCATGCATTATAATCAGCAATTCGTTAATGTCCACATGGGAGTCCCAGGTTAGGCTTACGCAACGTTTTAAAAGGCTTGAAGTTAGACAAGATCAAGACACAAGCATCCAAGCCTTATGAGCTTAGATAATAAAATGTTTATCTATTTTTTTTAATAATATAATAATTATTCTAAGGTCATCAATTATTTTTTTAATAAGGTATCAAAAGAGAGTGGAAAAGTTTTTTAAAATTTTTTTTTTTTATTTGATTGAAGAAGTTTTGATCCAATCATATCTCACTATATCACGTGTAAACCATTAGTTAACTTTCTGAAAGTAAAGTTGAGATACATAGCTCAATTTAAATTTGTTGGATTTTTTATTTAATTCCTTTTCAATTGTAAAGCAGATAGCTTTTCCAGTAGGCACAATTATGGCTTTAGCATTCAAGTGAATATGTTATGAAATGCGTTCTCAACAGTTTCCAGCTTTTTCGACCGGACCAGAACCGATAGGTTCCGGTATGGTACGGTTCCATGTGCACAATTTCCATTGACATTTGGTTCGGTCAAGTTCAGAACCGCCACCCTGCTTGGGCCCACATTAAGCAGTCAAAAATATAGTTGACCGTCTTTTTTCATGCCTTCCCATATGCAAGGCTTTTTCCTCGCGCCTCAAATCTAGGCCCTGCCTTTTCATGCCGTTAAAGTTGAATGACCAAAAATGTAATCAACGCTTGCAAATTTCTTTCAACACAAGTAATACTCAAAAGATTTAAATGCACCAGCCTCAAAGGTTAGAGACCAACTTGCTTAGCTTGCCTGCTCTTCCGCTTCCATTTCAGCAGCGATTTTCCCACATGGCTGTGTAAATTGCTGTGTACCAAGGCTGTACACATAGCAAAGTTCTTTTGATTAATGCTCATCCATTTGTTGAGTGAATTTTCAACTTTTTTTTATCTACTTATACACAATGAAGTTAAATAATGGTTAACATACATATGAGGTGTCAAAAGAGAGTGAAATTTTTAAAATTTTTTTTTTTATTTCATTGAAGAAGTTCTGATCCAATCATATCTCATCATATCACGTGAATGTAAACCATTAGTTAATTTTCTGAAAGTAAAGTTGAGATATAAATTTAAATTTGTTGGATTTTTTATTTAATTCCTTCTCAATTGTAAAGCAGATAGCTTTTCCAGTAGGCACAATTATGGCTTTAGCATTCAAGTGAATATGTTATGAAATGCGTTCTCAACAGTTTCCAGCTTTTTCGACCGGACCAGAACCTATAGGTTCCGGTATGGTACGGTTCCATGTGCACAATTTCCATTGACATTTGGTTCGGTCAAGTTCAGAACAGCCAACCCTGCTTGGGCCCACATTAAGCAGTCAAAAATATAGTTGACCGTCTTTTTCATGCCTTCCCATATGCAAGGCTTTTTCCTCGCGCCCCAAATCTAGGCCCTGCCTTTCATGCCTTTTTAGAAAAGTAGGGTTACGAACTTGCTAGACTTAGTAATGGATTATGCAACAAAATTAAAGTTGAATGACCAAAAATGTAATCAACACTTGCAAATTTCTTTCAACACAAGTAATACTCAAAAGATTTAAATGCACCAGCCTCAAAGGTTAGAGACCAACTTGCTTAGCTTGCCTGCTCTTCCGCTCCCATTTCAGCAGCGATTTTCCCACATGCGGTAAATCTATCTCGGGATTTCAACGCCATAATGTCTTAAATTCGATAATTGTCACACTAATTTCCCCCCACTTCATTTTTTTGTGACTGGAAGAACAAGCATTCAGACTATAACTATGCAAGTTAGGAAATTTCAGTAGCTTTGGACATCCACATTAATTTCTCAAATCTAAATCCTTATTAGCAAAAGAACTATCTAATTTACATCAATCTGTCCCCAACATTCATCTAGTGATGTGATAAAAGTCGAGACAACTCCCCCAGCACTAGTTACAATCCAAAAACCAAAGCCAAAAGCAAAATGCTTGCCAACAGTCCGTTTGTCACATAATAAAAACTGGAAAGATGATTCTCAGATAATCTGCGATAGGTGGAAGGGCAAATACTTCCCTTGGCACTACAACATTGTCCCCCTCAAGTAGCTGGATTAAGAGCACGCTCTATTTCCTCCAGTGATCGTCCCTTCGTTTCCACGACGTTACCTGCTATGTACATAACTGCTAGAAGACAAACAGATGCAAATCCCAGGTACACTGTACTTATTCCAAACTTAGTTACAACGCTCAAGAAGTACAGGCCAATGACGAAATTTGATATCTGTTCAAGTAGGGAGAAAAAGCTCGTCAAGGAAGTAAATGACAAATAAGACTTGAATTATTACAAAGCAGATTTATCCATTGACATTTCATCGTTAACAGCTGTGCATGCATCTAATGGTCAAATATTTCATTCGCACAAAGAAAATTAAGGCATCATGCATGTGAAGATGGCCATATATAATGTATGCACGTGTGTCAACATAAATGGAATGTGGATGAACTTCTGCTTGCCACTTCATCGAAACACTATTGTATGGTCAGGGATATGAACACACCCGAGCACCTAAAACTACATTTCAGGTGCATAGTCAACACTGATTTTTTTTCAAAATTCTCAAATTGTTTCAGACTGTATGAAGAAAGTTGTCGCTTGGACATATGTTACTCCAATCTAATTTTTATGAGACAACACCATTTTAGTAAACAACACCTTGTCCCAAACCAACTTTCTACTAATCGATGCATATTTCTCTAGTATTATAGCGGCAGAGTATTTTCATTCAGTTATAAATTGAAGAGAGAATCGTTGCTGCACCACAAAACTACTTGTGGATTTCCATCTTTCTGCTAGTAGACATGGAACTTCCAATTTGATCTGTGATTGGGTATTCCTATGCCATTTTACTTATCTTTTCTTTTTTGTGTCTGTGGAGTGGTGACACTCGGGATACACGTCCAATTTTATACGCTTATAAATTGGACACGCGAAAGAAACTTTCTTGACATGCCATGTGGCATGTCCTGTATTTTATCTCATTCCACTAGTTATAATAAGTACAACAAACCTTTAATCTTCATATTCAAAAGGTTTCAAATCCAAACCAAAATTCAAAATCCAAGCTAACTAGAGTATTAATTCAATTGAAAAATAAAGAAGTACTAACATGAAATATAACATATACAAATTAATAATTTTAATAGAAGTTTCCATGTCCTGCTTTTTAAAAATTTGCATGTCAGTGTTGAGTCTATGCTTCATAGGGAATAGACCTAGGTATGGGTGCACCCAATAAATTGAAAGCATCTCTTGTCCACATAGCATGAAATTTAGCATTTCGTGCATTACAAGACACCTTCTTTATAAGACAAGTCTCTAACAGATTGTCAGTTAGATTGTGGTGAGGCTAAAAGGCGTTTAACTGTGAGGCCCGCTACCAGAAGTAAAATTAAATGCAGGAAAACAAAAGGGAGAAATTAAAAGTAAAGAAGGCATCATAGCTCTCAACTTGTTGCTTACCCAATGCATGCCCAAAGACAATGCCACTGCTTTTGCTCTAATTCTAGAGGCGAAAATCTCTGGAAGCAGAAGAGCAGGTACGGGACCAGCACCAAGAGAGAAGGATAATACATAACTGCGTTAATTAAATGAAACACGAGTTAACATTTCAGTGATTATGCATCTTGATGAAAAGAAAAAAATAACACTTTAAAGAAGAAGCTAAAGGACTGCTGCTAACGAAGAAATGATACTTACAGAACAGTGCCAAGAACGGCAAGGGTGCCTGCATATGGTGCCAGAGTCTTCCAAGTGAAGGTTAAGGAAAGCAGCAACATTGAAACAGCCTTGAGAAGAACAGAGAAGCATCAAAATAAGTTGAAATAATTTGCCAAGAGAGGACATCCAATGACCAGCGATGTAGACTTGACACCACATTATGATGTAATAAACTAAATTCTTCTTGGTTAAAGCATGCATCTCGCATGTCAGAAGGAACACACCAGTTAAAATAATTACGACTTTATCCTCCTAGGCATGTATTGCCTTTTGAGACTTCTATCACTAAGCTTATATGTATTGTCGTTCTAAGTAAATCATACCATGCCAGCAAAGCTTGTAAGCAGAAGACTTTTCCTTCCTTGCTTATCCATCAAGGAGGACGCAATGGTTGTCCCTAGAAAAAGATTAATGCCGATGAGGAAAAAAATGCGTTGCATGACCACCATAATCAAAATCTTCTAAACCGCTAACATAAAACTAACCAAAAACATTTGCCGCCCCAACTAGAGCACTGGCAGCAACATCAGATGTAATTCCAGCACTGCGGAAAACTGAAGTAGAATAATATACTACGGCATTTATCCCAGCAAGCTGCTGGAACAAGAAGAGAGCTGCACCAACGCTAACAACTGCAAAAGATATGTAATATGATATTACTATTCCAGGAGATCTATGGGAAGATTAAAATGTCCATTTTTTCAATGCCTAAATTTAGCCAATATTCACTAGAACAGGAGACTCATGCACTTCTGCCTTCAACCCTTGAGAACTCCATTTCTTATATAACCATTGTTTTCCCGTTTTACGATCATAAAAATTGAATTTTATAGAGAGAGAGAGACTGAGAGGTATAATTGATGTTTAATGGATTTCTGAAGTCGTGGACTTTCAAGAAACCTGATTCGGTGACATGCTAATTCTCCCCATATAGGTTGGGAGGACCCATGGACCATAGGATCAAGATTCAACAGTGTCGAATATACATTTATGACTTGCTTCATCAAAATATGCACCATGATCACTAACACGTCTTGATGGAATTACCTTTCCAGTAGCGGCTACTGAAAAGATCAAACCACCCAGCTTCTGGTTCAGAGGAACCTCGAGCTGCTGCATCCAAATCACTCATAACCTCAGCAACCCTTTCTTTTCCATATAGCTTTCTGATGGACACTTCAGCTTCAGAAATTTTCCCTTGCTGCAACATAATCTGCCTCTCTTAGCAATATTTTAGCACAAAAAACCAGAGATCAAGCAGATTGAGAAGTCCACACAGAAAGTCCAAATGGAAACTGTTACGAAGTTTGCAGTGAAACCTGATAAAGCCACCGCGGGCTTTCAGGAGAAAAAGCCATTCCAAGTGCCAATAATATGGATGGAACAAGCGCAACACCAAACATCGTCCTCCACCTGATAGAACATAGGAAGTGAATAGGATAAGACAGTCAAGGACAACAGAGGAAGTTCATCATGGAAATAACCTTATGGTGACTAACAGATACTGAATAATTTTAAAAGCTAAAGCATTTTCCTTGGTCCAAACAGAATAAAATAAAAACGCGATGATAAAGGGTTTGAAAAGAATTGGAAATTAAAAAGAGAACCCGGCAAGGAACGGATAAATGAATGTAATCCTTTTTGCAGGAGCAGGTAAGACAAAGTTTAAACATGCTGATGGAAAGAAATCAAATTATTTTATCAGTATCTGACTATAAAGTTTGCAACTTGAGGATTTAAAGACAAGTAAACAGCCAAAAATAGGCAAAACTATATATCATTATCACGTAGAATATTACATTCCTATATACTTTGACCCCAAATGCAGTATATTTGAAGTGATGGTTTTTATATTAAACTACATCCATTAGATTCTAACAAACTCAAGATATCACATGCAGAGACTGAAGAATTATTAAAAAATTTAAACTAAACATTGCTATAATAAGGTAATTTACACACAACTCTATCACCCTTGTTTGAACCACCCCCCCCCCCCCCCCTTTTTTTTTTGGAATAGTTATTTTTTGGAAAATGTGTGGTTAATAAGGAAAAGTTTTGGGTCCACGCATAAAATTATATTATGTGAGAATATGCGGTTGAAAATGAGTTTTGGAAAAATGGAGCCCAAACAGGGGCTTAATCTAATTGCAGAATTTCTTACAATATAATGGGAAATATATAAAAGGCCAAGTATCATGTTTAACAACTTGTTTTTTATCTAGAATTGTTGACGCTCTCATATTTGTTAACTAAGTAATAGGTGCTTTCTTTCTTCTATGAACATAATGCAAAAGGAGATACCACAAAGGATTTCCAGCTAATGGCAATCCAGCTACCAATGCTGCCAGAATCCCAATACATATAAATAGCTGGTTTACAGATCCAAGTGTTCCGCGGATTTCAGTTGGTGAGATCTAGTCAAGTAAAAAGTAATCAGATGTGTGGTAGAAGCCATTTAAGTTAAAATGTAAACATAATATATGAGAATATATGCACCTCAGATATATAAAGTGGCACAATAGCAGACGATATACCAATTCCAATTCCAGCCAGCAAGCGACCAATTATCATTGTCTCTACGTTCTGCGCAGTGGCACTGTAAAATCCAATGACATTTTAAGGCACTTATTTTTCCTGATGATTATTGAAGAAGAACACCTCAGAATCTGTGCCAGAAGTACAGACCAAAGAAATGCTCCAACTGCAAGTGGAATTGCATCCAACAGAAAAGTCTTTGTTCGCCCAAATTTATCAGCCAAAGAACCCCCAGTGAATGAACCGACAGTGGCACCAGCAAGAAGTGTGCTAACCACCCAACCTACTCAATGCACAATTGCATAAAATTTCTTCTCCTTAATAAGAAAAGGGACATGAACTAAGTATTTACAGAGTAACTTGTAGAGTAGACAATTTATGACTTTCAAACTCAAATGAATGATGATATTTTCTGGAACACAATAGTCAATCATTGCATAAGAAGTAAAGGTTAAACATAGTATGGAATGTTGGCCACTACTTACCTTGCAACACAGTGTTTTCAGCAATTCCGAGATCCTTGGCAAGATACTCTAGAGCACCATTAACCACCCTAAACCAGAGAAGTAATAGTAGAATATGAACAAAAAAGCTTCAAAGTATTTCACTTAAAATCAAGGGTGAACAACAGCCAACCAACCATTAATAGAGATTTAGAACATTCACACATTGTTATCATAATCTAGCAGGAAGTTTATACCATTTCAATCTGATTTTTAAAAAGAGGAAAAAATAAGTAAAATATGAAAAGGAATGGTATGAAAAATTGCATTCATACTGAGCTGTACCCTAGATGATATCCAAAAAGAATGGCCCCCAAACAAGCAACGCCAACATATGGCAGAACAGTTCCAGATGATTTCACTTGGATTTTGGCAGGTGGAACATCCTCAACATCTCCTTCTGTTAGTCAACAGCATGAATGTTCATTGTCAGGAAAAATATAGTAAGCAGTCAACTACAAACGTACCAGTAGTCAGGTATCAATACAAGACCTGAAAAATTAAACTTAAATGAGAAAAAACGGAATCAAAATAGGAAAGAAGCTATTGCACATTGCAGATCACTGGTTAGACTTTGACATGAATACCTGTGATATTACTTTTCCGCTCTTCTAAATAATATTTATAACATTATTTTGACACATGATAAATGCAGTACTCCAGAATTTTCTTTTTAAATGCGCGGTTGAACATAAAGAACCAACATACGAAATTTTCAACCCCAAAAATTATAAAGCATGACTGCTTCAGAAAGAGAATAAGAATAAGAATAACAAATGAAGCCAAAAGGGTTGGAAAGAGTTAGAAACAGTATATCGTGCGGTCACTAATGCAGATGACTCAAGTCCATTTTGACATAACAATGGAACTAGACACGCCAATTAATTCAATAGTTAAATGAAAGCTAAGTAATGCATATAACTAGCAACACGATATTGCATGTAATCATCCAGAAGAAAATGGGAACGTTTCATTCTAATTTCTTTCTTGTTTGAAACTAGTATTTGACTACCCACAAGTAATTGTTCATCATCCAAGAATTATAATCAATATCTTCTTTAATGTAATCAATAGTAAACTCCATTACACGAGAAAACTTAGCAATCTAATCAAAATACACCAAATAGTCAAAATCACAACTACTACCCAGGAAAGTCGCAAAATTTACTACTGGCAACATCTCAACTGCGCTATAAAATCAGAGCTCTAAATAACTAAACACAAAACAAAATTCTAAAAACACGAACCATAAGCTTGAGCCCTGACTGATCTGGCCTTGGCCGATGATCCGAACACACTTCTAACATTCCCCCTTGCTCCCATAGCAATTGAGTCTAGGCCAATTCCGAAGCAACTGGTCCTTTTTTTCATCCGAACCTCGCTAACAGCGAAACCTAAAGAGCTCGGCAATAGCCTACGGTTTTGTAGTCCAAGGCAGAAATTTCCTTGAACAGCATGCGTAGAAACCTGCATTTTCCACCAACTTGACCTGTCAAATCTGAAATTCACAACGCGAAAAGTCAACAATCATTACTATTTAACCAATTAATTTAACCTATAGCGCACAACGATAAAAATCATAACTCTACTTTTCAATACTCATAAAAAACCGAATTACGAATAAAATTGAACATTTACATAAACATCTTGTTTAAAAAAAATAATTACAATGAAACTAAATTGAAAACAAATTCAGAATTAAAGCAAAACACAATTGAACTTACAAAATTAGAAAGTTGATATGAGATTATTGTCGTCACTTCCACTTTGTGTGTGATTGCAGTGTGGTTATAGTGTATGTGGCAGGTAGAGAGAGTAACCTTGGAAGGTCCGAAGAAGGAAACGAATTAATAAAAAAGAGGCGTCGAATTAGAGAGGACGGTTTGTTTACTGATTACCAGCTAATCAGTGGAGATCACAACTCTTTCTGTTACTACTAAGACCGTGTTTGGTATAAACTGATTTAAATTATCATCTGATCAAAATGAGTGAATAGTATTTATAAATATGAGCCAAACAAATCCTTATTTTTTTTTTTTT